TAATTGTATTACCCCTCAACCTCAAAATATCATTTCTCATCCGCATAGATGTGAAACCGTTCTTAAATACTGTGCTTTACATGATAGCAAGTGGTCTCCCACTGAAGTGCTGATTGCAAAACCTATTTGTTATGATTTTGGGGAAAGAAACGAGACTCTCCATGACTGCACTCCTTTATTGTTCAAGTGTTTATGACATGCACACGTGGGCAAGAAATAGCCATGCAACTGAGCGTACACAGATGACCCAAAGAGCCACTTTGCTCCCAACTTCTCTTTCAGTTCCCTATGGATCGTGGTTTGACCATTGTCAAGGCTGGCTGCAAATGAGAGGGAAAGAGAATTTCTTGGTGGTAACATATGAGGAGCTGCATCAGGTAAATCAAAGAATTCCCTCTCCCTCAACCAATTTCACCACAGTATAATTTCCCTCTTTTCTTTGTCTTTACTCCTCTGGGGTTTTTATTATTGCCCCGAACATATACACACTAAAACGCTGACCAATTTGATAATTCTCACATCCTCATTCATTGCTCTGGATTACATTTTTGAAATTGGACAACCCTTCTCACTGTCCAAACTCTACACCCTCAAACTAAACCTCCCCTCCCCCTCTGTTCTACTCCCTGTAAGGCGCCCTGGTAGCGCTGTGGGTTGAGCGCTGGGCTCCTAACCAAAAGCTGGTTCAGAAACTCCAGCTGCCCCACAGGAGGAAGACGAGGAGCTCTTTTCCCATAAAGATGTGCACTTCACCTCTTGTAAGCACGGATAATCTTTGGTCTCTCTATCTTTGCTTATTTGATACAACTGAAATACTGTCATGTTCTTGCTTGTGAACTGACTTTTTCACCCTGCATACTGTGAACGTGGTTCATCATTGTGGGGCCATAATTCAGGGCTTCATTGCTCCTCATGGTGGAGGAGTGTTGTCCTGGTACATGTATGTTTCTCGCCACGTTCATCACGAATCCTACTCCATTCTTCAATGTGTCCCTCCTGCCCGTCAATCAGAGGTTCTCTCCACTAAAGCTGCTCTCCATCCTGCCTTCACTCCCCACCGTGTGTCGTCAGGACTTCTTTGTTCAGTATCTGCACGTTCCCTTTTCCCACATATGCCCCATACGCCGAGGAAGGGATCGATGACAAGCCCATTGTGTGGGAGCAGTGACCACGAAGACAAAGAAAGCTTCTACACAAACAGCTTGCTGCCATGCGGTTGATTCTAACTGATGGCAGCCCCATGGGTTGTGATGCAGAAATACTCTCATAAGGGTTCTTAGGTGTACTCTTTAAGACACTGGGTCTTCATGATTTTCTCTTAAGATCTGCTCACTAGGGGAGTTGCACCTGCCAACCATTTGATTAGTAACTGAACGGAAACCTAAAGAACCAGTCGGGGTCTGGGATCTCTCTCAAGGGTCTAGGTCTTTGCAAATCATAGGTCCATCGATCTGCTTTTGACCTTTACAAGGTGATGATCTGAGCAGATGCTGTTTATGATTTCAATGTTTTCAACATGCTGAGGCTTGCTTTGTGACCTAACCAATGGTCTATTCTGGAGAAT